TAGCAGAGAGATGAATTGGAAGAGGAGCAGCTGGGACTAGAATTGGCACCCATATGGGATGTTCATGCTGCGTGCAGGGGCTTAGCCCACTATGCCATGGCACTGACCCCAAAGTCTTTTTGATTTTTGATGTAAAAATGCTAAATTTAAAAATCTCTGGATACTTACAGACTCTCAAAGAATATATACCCTGGGGATCTAAAAATTAGTTTGAGAAACTGTGTGCATTTTAGGGGATAAACCAGCAGATAGAAGATCGTTGTCTCTCATTCTTTGCCTTTGAAAATAAAATGAAAGATAAGTAAAAACGTTAAAAATAAATAAATTCGATAGTGCTGTCATCTAAACTCATCTTAGTATATAACTGTATTATCGAACTGAATTTCCAAAGGATGTTGTTTCTCTGCCACTGTTTTCTCATAAGTGAGGCAGTAGAGGACTACCTATTTCTGAGTTTTCCTCTTTGCCTCATTCTCTCTGTTCTCAAATATGTGGTTTCTGTATTGAGAGTTGCCTTCTATTACTTTACTCTTTTTTTCAAGATTTATTTATTTACTTTGAAAGAGTTAGAGAGAAGGAGAGGCAGGCAGAGAGAGAGAGGTCTTCCATCTGCTGGTTCACTCCTCAATTGTCTGCAACGGCTGGAGCTGCGCTGATCCGGAGCCAGGAGCTTCTTCTGGGTCTCCCATGCGGTGCAGGGGCCCAAGGGCTTGGGCCATCTTCTACTGCTTTCCCAGGCCATAGCAGAGAGCTGGATTGGAAGTGGAACAGCTGGGTCTCAAACCAGCGCCCGTATGGGATGCCAGCACTGCAGGCGGCAGCTTTACCCGCTATGCCACAGTGCTGGCCCCCTATTACTTTACTCTTTCAACCACATGTTTTCCCTTTCCATTTATACACAGAGTAATAATGAACAGATGGTTGTGGCAGCGGAAGCTTATTCTTTATTTAATTTGTGAAGTTGGTTTAATACCATATCCTAGAAATCAGAATCCAGAACTCATGATTTGGTTTGTTCTAATATGCCTCTGGGGCTGGAGGGATAAGATTCTTAGTGGCTTTATTAGTGGGTTGACCATCATGTTGACCCTATTAAGTAAGGTTCAAAAGAATCTGCCTTAAGGACATAGGGTGAAATGAGTGTGTGTATGTATATAGTTGTATACATGTGCAAATATATATATATACCACATATATAAGGTGTGTATATGTATAAATACATACATATGAGGAAACTTGAAAGTTTGTGGAAAATGGAATTCAAAGATCAGTGTGAAAGCTTAAAATATTCTTTGGTAGAAAATAATAACTGAATTATAGGAAGTATGTTTTCTCTAGTTCTTTTTCACCTCTTTCTTGTTTTGTGTTTTCTTGTTAAGTCATTCGTGCTCCTGCCAGTTACTGTATATAGTCTTCTGGCTTTTTTCCCCAAGACTTTGATCTTGACTATGAAACTGTTCTTTTTATTTGGACTACTTCACTTTTTCTTTTTCTCTCTCTATTGTCACCTCTTTGCAAAATAAGATATATTTTCTCTCTCCTCTTCCTTTTTCCCCTCTCTCTCTCTTCAAGTTTATGATTTTTCACTATTTTCTAGGTCCTTTTCTCAGTTGCACATTTCCTTACCATCCTTTAACTTTGCTCTGAAGTGTTCATTATAAAAATTTAGTGATAATTACCAGCATCTTTGTGTTACGGTGACTACCAACATTTGCTCCCAACGTTTGCTTTTTTCCCTTTGTTATTACCTCTAATAACTCATATGTATCATCAGTGTGTATCTCAGAAGAAAGCATAGAAAAGGCCTATCCTGGGTCTTTCCTGTTTGAATTACAATGAAATTCAAGCTAAATGTTTTTTTTAAATTCATATGCATATTTTTAAGAACTATATATACTTATGTGAGACATATCAGATACAAAATAGGCACTAATAAAGATACTGTGAAAAATTGGTGAGAATTTTAGTCTTTGGTATTATATATTTGCAAATGTACATTTATAAGTTATAAATCTTACTCAGTTGTGCTATGTATATAAACCATCACCATATTTGTCTTAGGGAATTAACTTGTAGGCTTTTTGGCTGCCAAACTGGCAACATGATGTGTTTACTAGCAAAATTTTTTTTTTTATTTTTTTTTATTTTTTGACAGGCAGAGTGGACAGTGAGAGAGAGAGAGACAGAGAGAAAGGTCTTCCTTTGCCGTTGGTTCACCCTTCAGTGGCCGCCGCGGCCAGCACGCTGCTGCCGGTGCACTGCGCTGATCCGATGGCAGGAGCCAGGAGCCAGGTGCTTTTCCTGGTCTCCCATGGGGTGCAGGACCCAAGCACCTGGGCCATCCTCCACTGCACTCCTGGGCCACAGCAGAGAGCTGGCCTGGAAGAGGGGCAACCGGGACAGAATCCGGCGCCCCGACCGGGACTAGAACCCGGTGTGCCGGCGCCGCAAGGCGGAGGATTAGCCTAGTGAGCCGCGGCGCCGGCCACTAGCAAAATATTTATAGGAAGATAGGTAGGTGTAAGAGCTGAGTATACCAGTGGAAATATTACCATAATTCAGCTTCTGTGGGTTAAAACTCTACCTGAAGTATATTAGTGCTTCCTTGCATCTTTGTATTTCCCAGAAGAGTTCATCTTTGCTTTAGGAAATCTCTGTACCTTTCTCAGTTTTGCTGTGTACTGTAAAACTGCTTTAAAAAGTTAGTCTTTTTAAAATACACTGATACACTACAAAAGGATTTCAAATGTTTCTTTTAAATTGCCTTCCAATTGAACCATGTGTATGTAATCTGTAAGGCTTTTTTTTTTTTTTTTTTTTTTTTTTTTTTTGCTGAACAATCTTTAGACACTATCACTTACTATCTGCCCTGAGAATACTTATGTAGTAATAGCTTAGTACTCGAAATTTTTTTTAAAGAAAGTTCTACCAATAATTTTTTTTCTTAGAATTTGCAGTCATGTTTTCTTTATACTTATGCTACTTTGGCTTTATTTAGCATATTAAGTGAGAATACCCTAAGACTTGGTAATGTTGTAAAGCCTCCAGTGATATTTCCAAAGGCATTTGAGAATTTAGCCAACTACAGATTAAGAATAGTCTACATAGTATTACACTTACTCTTTTTTTTTCTTTTTCTTTTATGTATGTATTTATTTACTTTTTATTTTTTACAGGCAGAGTGGACAGTGAGAGAGAGAGACAGAGAGAAAGGTCTTCCTTTTGCCGTTGGTTCACCCTCCAATGGCCGCCACGGCCGGCGCGCTGCGGCTGGCGCACCGCACTGATCCAATGGCAGGAGCCAGGTGCTTCTCCTGGTGTCCCATGGGGTGCAGGGCCCAAGCACTTGGGCCATCCTCCACTGCACTCCCTGGCCACAGCAGAGAGCTGGCCTGGAAGGAGGGCAACCGGGACAGAATCCAGTGCCCCGATTGGGACTAGAACCTGGTGTGCCGGCGCTCATAGGCGGCCCATTCTTCTTTCGAGCTGCAGCGCTGGGCTTATTTTCCTCTCAAAATATTTCTCTTTCTCTACCTCAGAGCCAATGTGACCACACTCCCTCCACTGGTCCCTACCTAAGTGTAGACCAAGCCAGGCCAGGCCAGAGCTAAAAGCCAGGATCACAATCTGAATCTCCTGTAAGAGTGACAGGAACCCAGTAACTAGAACCATCACCACTGCCTCCCAGGGTCAAACCCATGCCTGTACTTCTGATACCAGTTGCAAATTTTGGAGGAGTTTGAAATTTCCCCAAACTTTCCTCAGGTTTGATTGATTGTTACTCAGCCTCACAAATCTTACAGAAAATTAGTATATTGATGATTATAGTTTTTTTGTAGAGAAAATATACAGATAAAATCAAAGGAAGAGCAGTAGAGCAGAGTCTAGGAAAGGTACCACAGCAGAGTGTATCTGTTGTACTTTCCCTATGGAGTTACGCATGAGTTACTTCCTTGGGGTAGATGTGTGACAGTACTGAGAGAGTATTGTCAGCCAAAGAATCTTACCCCAAACCTTGGTGCCAGAGTTTTTGTTAGGGCCCAGTCACATCTTGTTGTATGGCTGACATTTTTTCCCCCTCAGCTCTGTGGAGGCAGAACTGCCACATGGTCTGGGCCTGCATCATTAATCACTTTTGTGATTTGTCCAATGGCTAAATCCCCAGGCAGGCAAAACACTGCTCTTAGCCATGACATTCCGAAGGCCTATAGCTCACTTCTCAGTAGCCAAGAACAGTACCCTGTCTTTGGATAACATTAGTTTCTCACTACACAAGGCATATTTTTGAAGATTTGGTGCTTTACATAAGTCTGTACCCTGAGCATGTGTGAAAGCATTATGCAAGAAAGTGCACATTTTTGTTCAATGCAGAGGTAAACTCCCATTATAATTTCCACTATCGTTTCTTCCATAATTGTATCTTTATTTTTTTCTACTTACTGGTTATCTTGTGATTTCTAATTTAAGTTAATTCATTTTTTAAAAAATGCTTAATATAAGATACCTCATGATTTGTTTACTAGTTAATCTCTGTCAAACATGTCCAATATATGTCTTTATTTGTCCTCATTTTGTTGCCATAAGCATTTTAAACTTCTGTAAACACTTTGTTAACATAAAGCAAATCATAAAGGCTGAGGAATTTTCCTCCATTTTCTAGGTGGAGAAACTGAACCATAGAAGTATTTCTTCAGAACCCAGTCAGGTTTACGATTAGTTTCTCTAATCTAACTGAATTATGCAAATTGCAATACTTAGTTATTGGAACTAAATTTCATTATGTTCAAAATCTCTAATTGTATGATCACAAAGTAGGTGATACATTAATAGATATGTAAGGTACATGTAGAAAGGGTAAGTTTTATTGTAGATGTATTTTCTACCTCATTAATTCAGTATTCTGTAGCAAATTTATAAAATGCTACTTTGAATAGAAATAGTTAAATTTGAACACTAACATTGCTCTTTCCTCATTATTGCGTTCTGCACTGCTGTCTTAGGATGTCAACCATGGATTAACTGAGGTAAGTTTGGTGTAATGAAGTCTCATGTTCAGAGTAAGATACACTGTTGTTTCCTATGTGATAGGAAAGCTGAAAGTTCCTCCTGGGTGTAGTCTTTAAAAATGTGTATAGGAAGTTCCTCCTGGGTGAGGTTTTTAAAAAAAATGTGTATAGGTATATGTTCATTGTCTGTCTGTCTGTCTCTCTCTCTCTCTCTTTAAAAAAAAAAAAATTTATTCAGTCACTTGAAAGAGCCAGAAAGAGGGGCAGGGGAAGGTATCTTCCATCCACTGGTTCAGTCCCCAAATGGTCGCAATGGCCAAGGCTGGGCCAGGACTGAAGGCAGGAGCGAGGAGCTTGTTCTCAGTCTCCCAAGGACTTGGGCCATCCTCCACTGCTTTCTCAGGCACATTAGCAGGGAGCTGAATCAGAAGTGGAGCAGCCCGCACTTGAACCATGGCCCACATGGGATGCCAGCGCTGAAGGTGGAGGCTTTATCTGCTACACCAGAGCAACAGCCCCTCATTGTCGCTTTTTAAATTGAGTCCTTAAAAATTTTAGAAGGATTTAAGAAAAGTAAAACCTATATTAATTAAACATTATACCTCAGTTATGTATTTCAGCAATAATTGATTTAAAATAGTTCCTGTGTGCTCCTTAAGTCTTCCAGTATCAAATATAATGTGTCCTCAGAGTATAAAAAGGCAAACTTTTTATAAAAAGGCAAACTTTAAAATTTGGTAAATGACTATTGACTTTTCTTAAAGCTAATAATTGCTACTAAAAATAGTTACAAAGTTAAACTCTTGAGTATTAATCATCTTTCTCATTTTTGTTCTCTCTCTCTCTCTCTCTCTCTCTCTCTCTCTCTCTCTATATATATATATATATATATAAAGTTCTGGCATTTGGCCTAAGTAGTCAGCACCCTTAAATACCCTTTTAACATTTGGAAACATTTCTTTTATCTTTTAGCAATTGGTAGAGTTTGCTTTGGCTTTGCTTTTTGTTTGTATTACTTGGTATGCTTTTCTTAGCACTTGAAACAGAGAAGCATTTTTGAGATGTCTTTACATTGTAGGTCTAATATTGTTTGCCTCATCATTCACAAATAGAAGTAGCACCATAAGATTATGAAAATGTAAGGTTTGTGAAGTTTAAGTGCACTTTGGAAATAATCTGAATCTTCTAAATTTTCAGAGAATTAAAATTATTTTTTATGACCAATAACTAGGTAGTCACACAGATACAGGATGAGGGTTGGCCTTGTCACATGAAAAACACAGGAAGAGTGATAATTTACTATTAGGTGCATGTAACTCAGCATACTGTCTTATATATGAGGACAAAGTCGATGGTTATTGGGCAGTATTAGATTACTTTTTTTGTTATTTTTTGCCAAAGTTAAGAGGGACTTGAAATATATAGAAAAGAAGACAGGCTAGAGAAGACTTAAAGTCATATTTTCAAAATGGCTTGAAAAACTGGGCATGTTAGCATGGAGAAAACACAATTTATGGAGAGCAAGGTCAGGACTTTATGCCATATACACTTCCTGCAAGGGCAAAACAAAGAAAAAGTTAGGCATGGTAATATATAGAAATGCAAATTCAGACTCAACATAAATAAATTTTTGATCACTTAAAAAGAAATGAAGTGTTTCCTAGTGTATTCTTCATGGTAAGCCTTTACATGGCATGGGCATTGTGTCGGGACTAGCACAAAAATACTACCTTGTTGGATAGATGGTAGGACACTCTCCGACAGCAAGCAAGTCTGACTGACAAATGATAATAATCCTTTATATTTTAACTTAAAATACTTTGGCAGTCAAGCACTACATTGCCTGCTAGGATAAGTAGTTGTCTATAACATGTCTAATATCTGATAATGGTAATAGTAAATCAGTTCTCCTAACTTTAAAAGCTAACATAATAATACTAATGATGCTTCTTTTGAATGTTAAGTGAATGAGCAGATTATTGGACTGATAATAATTCTGGCATCCTAATGGTACTTAAGAAATATCTGTTAAATGAAGGAATAGGGTTTGCTTAAACAGTATGTTTCATTTATAATTCCTGAACCACACATAATTGAATGAATTAATATGATCAGCTTTATAAAAAATGACTCCACCCACAATAAATGTCACAAATCAACTTATACTAATAAATTAATTTTTTATTTCCAGTTGGCAGATATCCCTGTAACAATCTGCACATATCCATTTGTATTTGATGCCCAAGCAAAAACTACTCTGTTACAGACAGATGCAGTCTTACAGATGCAGGTAAAATATTGTATAATACTAATCTGATTTGAGAGTGATCTTGTAAATTGTTACTGTGATGTTCTTAAAAAGTAGATAATTGAAATTTGCCTATAAGCATTAATATTTGGGGGCATTTTGTATCATTGTAGTGCCTTGCAAAATACCTTCAGAAGCTATCAAAAGACTGTTGCATGCTGTGACATGTGGATACTTGCAGAAATTCATGGAAATGTGTTTTTTTAAAAAACTATGAATGCATTTTAATGTTTTTACACCTAAATAAACTTTGAAGTATCCTCATATGTTCTTATAAAGGCTGCTTTAACAAAAGGAGCTTCTTATAAAAAAGCTTCAGTGAAATAGAATTCCTTTTTTAAAAAAAGATTTATCTATTTATTTGAAAGAGTTAGAGAGAGAGAGGAAGAGAAAGAGATCCATCTTCCATCCATTGGTTCTTTCCCCTTGCTGCTTCATTGGCCAGGGGAAGCCAGGTGACAGGGGCCCAAGCACTTGGGCTATCCTCCACTGCTTTTCCCAGTCCATTAACAGGGAGCTGGATCAGAAGTAGAGCAGCCAAGACACGAATCGTCAGCATTGCCAGTGTCACAGGCAGCAACTTTACCTAATATGCCACAGCACCGGCCCCAAAAGTAGAATTATTAAATCTCTAACCATTTATATCTTTTAAAATGCTATAAAACTCTTTGATTGTATAAATAAGCAGTCTGTATAGCAGTTTAACATTTATACTTGATAAAATCTTGAATTGTTTCAAAATCTGGTAGAAGTAGCCAGAACAGAGGTGATGTTAAAGTAGGAAGTGATCTTTTGCTAGGAGGATATGAAGTTTTCTTGAAAAAAGTTTTAGTAGTAGCATGTTTGTCATTATCTCCTATTCCTTTCTCCTCTTCCCGTCCTTTCTCCTCACATTTTATGTTGAACATTTTTTCAGTTACAGTGATTTTTTTTTAAACTAGTCCATATTGTGACTTTGAAGGATTATAGTAGGCTTGCTTTAAAAGATTGATTTATTTTAAAGGCAGAATAATAGGGATGGGGGGAGAAGTGGTGCAGAGGAAGAAAGAGCATTGTGTGAGTACTGTATTCCAAACACTGGTTCACTCCCCAAATGGCTGTAACAGCTAGCTGTGGCTGCACCACGCCAAAGCCAGGAGCCAGGAATTCATCTTGGTCTCCCACATGGGTGGCAGGGAGTCAAATACTTGAGCCACCATCTGTTACTTGCTAGGCACATTAGCAGGGAGCTTGATTGGAAGTGGAATAGCTGGAAATCAAACCGACACAACAGTATGGGGTGTGGGCATCCCAAGCAGTAATTTAACCTGCTGCACCACAATACCCACTGCCTCCAAACATTTTAATAACAGGAAATTATAAAAATGTGCTTATTTCCATGTATACCAACAGAAGAAATAACTATTCTTGTAGTTTTCTGTGCTAACAGCTCACAGCTAGTTTTTTTGAAGTCTTTGTTAAAATGATGTGTTAATAATTGGTGCTTTTATATGGGATATTTCATTTTAGCACAAGAACACAAGAAAGCCATAGGAAAAGAACAAAAGCTTTAAGTGGACGAGCCAGTGTTTGGTTTGTGAGCACATATGGTAATCACTGTACTAGATCAATTTCTGTAAAATACTTCCTTAGCCTGGTTGTTCCTTACTTTCTTTAAAGGTTTGTTTTATAGTGTTTTCTATTTTCCCCCTCACTCTCCCTCCCTCCCTACCTCTCAACTTACATTTTTTTTAAAGAAAAAATAGTGCTCAGATTTCTCAGTTCAGTGTTGTATATAGTTCTTTGCCTACTTACTTTAATGATGTCATACATTAATATGAAACAAAATCAAAGAATACACTTTATACTCAGTTTATTAAGTTCTTACGTATTAGATACTGTGTTAAGTACTGTGTAAATGTCAGTAGCATAGGAATTCTTACAGGAATTAGTGTGCCTATAACTAATAGGTTCGTTTATCCAGTCACAGTAACTTCTTTGTAGCATTGCTTTTAAAATTTTAATCTTTTGTTTTGTAGATGGCTATTGACCAGGCCCACAGACAGAATGTCTCCTCTCTTTTTCTCCCAGTTATTGAATCTGTGAATCCCTGCTTAATTCTAGTGGTGCGTAGAGAAAACATTGTAGGAGATGCAATGGAAGTTCTTAGGAAAACAAAGAACATAGATTACAAAAAGCCGCTCAAGGTAACTTGGCATCTCCTGTGTTGTATAATTGTTACTTTTGTTTAGATACTAAGTTAAAATTTTTCTATTTCTATTTAGTATATCTTTGAAACTTAAAATGTCTGTGAATTGCAAGATATTTCTTAGTAATAATAAGTGAGATGCTATAGTGTCTTCAGAATGTACTTGGATTTCCTATTGACTAATCCATATTTGTATTATGCAATTTTAGGTTATATTTGTTGGAGAAGATGCTGTTGATGCAGGAGGGGTACGCAAAGAATTTTTCTTGCTCATCATGAGGGAATTACTGGATCCTAAATATGGCATGTTTAGGTATTATGAAGATTCCAGGCTTATTTGGTTTTCTGATAAGGTAAGATGTGCAACCATCTAAATTACTTCTGTATATTTATAAATGTGTCGAGTTAACTTAGTGAAGAAGAGTTATTAGTGAATTTCTAACATTTTATTCAGAGATTTGCTTTATTACAGTCTGAAAAATTATGAACTTTTAGAGTTGGAGTTTTCAGATGCAGTAATGCTTACCAACACATTGCAAATGAACAAAATTAATTAATCACATATTTTTGTAAATAAAGTCATGCTCATTCATTTACCAGTTGTCCATGGGTACTTTCGAGCTATAATAGTAGAGGCAGAGTTCAGTAGTTATAATAGAGACCTCATTAGCAACAAAGTTTAAAATATTTACCATCTGGCCCTTTATAGAAAATGTTTGATGACCCCTTAGATTTAGAGACTATAAGAGAAATGGATGAATTCTGAGTTGAAAAAATTTGAATACAGTATCTACACTGGTTATTAAATCCTTAATGTGTTAAATCATTGTGCCAGGAGGCTGACTATGATATAAACAGTCACTGATGCTCAGGACTCATTCTTTCATTGAGGGTTGCGAAATGATGCTACTCACTGTAATTTTGTTTTCATTGTCTGAATACTTAAGTATAGAGAAATGACCCCACACTGTTTGACTCCTTAGTAGTATAATTCATGTTGTGTGGTGATTTTTCTAAGGACTCAGTTTATTAGCATCCTGCAGTGATTATTTTGCTTGTACTTCCAAATATCATGTTTTCATAGTTTTAAACTTACTTGATGGTTTTCAGTCCTTGTAAATAATGTCTGTATTGATGGTCATATTGTCCTATGTTTGTCCAGGGAGAACAACTTCAGTTGGTGCCTGAGTCTTTTTAGAAACTTAGTAATTCTGTATCTGGTTTGACAGAATGTTCCAGACTTATACATTTACTGCCTAACAGTACCAGCATTATCACTGATGCTGTGTTACTGAAAATAGTTTTTAGATTGTTTTGTAATTCTTTTTGACCTTATGTTTTACCCTAGTAGAGATATGCAGGCAAATAATGTCTTGCAAGTGTTAAACTCAGTATAGTTTGATCACCAAGCAGTTAAAAATTTAAATTAATTCATTTTTATTTTTTAGAAATTGCCTGTTTAAATCTAGCTTTATAATAATATACAATATTTATATAGTTGCAAAGTCGCATCTACAAGATAATATATAAAGAGGCCAAGCTTCATCTTTTCTTTTCTCACTGCAAGTGATTTTTGTAAAGATTTATTTATTTATTTGAAAGAGTTACAGAGAGAGGGAAAGACAGAAACATATTTCATGTATTTGTGAATTTTCCAGATTTCCTTCTATAATTGATTTCTAGCTTCATTCCATTGTGATCTGAGATTTTTTTTTAGTGATTGTAATCTTTTAAAATTCATGTTAAGTCTCTTATTAAAAATGTTCCATGTGTGCTTAAGAACAGGTATTCTTTTCTTATTGGATAGAGTATCCTATACATATCTGTTAAGCCTTGTATGTAGACTTACAGTATCTGTTGTTTTAAGATCCCTTTCTTTGTTGATCTTTTTGATGGTTATTCTATCCATTATTGAAAGTGGGTTATGAAAAACACTGCTATTGTAGAACTTCCTGTTTCCTCCTTCAGTTCTGTCAGTTTTTGCTTCATATATTTTCAGAACTTTGTTTTGAAAGTACTTAAGTTTTTAATATTTTCTTGATGAATTGACCCTTTTATCCTTATATGTCTTTGTCTTTTCCAACAATTTTGTCTGATATCATCTAGTCTGTTATTAGTAGTCATTCTACCTTTTCTTTTGTTACCATTTACGTGGAATTTTTCCCCAAACTTTCACTTTTAACCTATTTGTATTTTGGATCTAAAGCATGACTTATTTAACATACTGTTAGATCATGTTTAATGCATTCAGCCAGTCTGTTTTTGGTTGTGGAGTTTAATCCATTTACCTTTAAAGTAAGTACTGATAAGGAAGCATTTCTGCCATTTTGATGTTTGGTTTATATATATATATATATATATATATATTTTTTTTTTTTGGTTCCTTAATCCCCCCATGGTCCATTTTCTTTGTTTTTTCTAGTGTACCATTTTGATTCGTTTTTTGCATACATTTTAGTGCTTGCCCTTGAAGTTGCAGTTACCATCTTAAATTTATAACTTCCTGGCTTGCATTAATACTATTCAACTTCAATAGTATATAGAAACTGTTTTCTTAGCTCGCTCTCTCCTTTATTTTGTTATTATTAGAACTTAAATCTTTTGGCCGGCGCCGCGGCTCACTAGGCTAATCCTCTGCCTTGCAGCGCTGGCACACCAGGTTCTAGTCCCGGTCGGGGTGCCGGATTCTGTCCCGGTTGCCCCTCTTTCAGGCCAGCTCTCTGCTGTGGCCCGGGAGTGCAGTGGAGGGTGGCCCAGGTGCTTGGGCCCTGCATCCCATGGGAGACCAGGATAAGTACCTGATTCCTGCCATCGGATCAGCGTGGTGTGCCGGCCGCAGCGCGCCCTCTCTCTCTCACTGTCCACTCTGCCTGTCAAAAAAAAAAAAATCTTAAATCTTTTTATATTGTTTTCCATTCACATATGTTGGTATTATTTTATGCATTTGCTTTTAACCATATAGAAAAGGAGTTATAAATAAAAAATGAAACAACACTGGCTTTTATATCTGTGTAGCTACCTTGAGCAGAAATCTTTATTTCTTTGTGTGACTTTTTTTTTTTTAAAGATTTATTTATTTTACTTGAAAGTCAGAGTTACACAAAGAGAGGAGAGGCAGAGAGAGAGGTCTTCCATCCGCTGGTTCACTCCCCAATTGGCCACAACAGCTGGAGCTGTGCTAATCCAAAGCCAGGAGCCAGGAGTTTCTTCCGGGTCTCCCATGCGGGTGCAAGGGCCCACGGGCTTGGGCCATCTTCTTCTTTCCCAGGCCATAGCAGAGAGATAGATTGGAAGTGTAGCAGCCAGGACTTGAACCGGCGCCTGTTTGGGATGCCGGCACTGCAGGCGGTGGCATCGGCCCCGTCTTCATGTGACTCTTACTGTAATGCGTTCTTTCCTCAACCTAAAATACTTTGGCGTTTCTTGTAGGGAAGTTCTGGTAATAGTAAGCTCCCTCAGTTTTTGTTTATCTGAGAGTGGCTTAATTTTCCCCTTACTCTTTAAGTGCTTTTTCCCTTTTTTTTTCTTTTTCAAGATTTATTTATTTGAAAGGCAGATTTACAGGGAGGCAGAGAAAGAGAGAGGTCTTCTATCTTCTGGTTCACTCCCCAAATAGCCACAACGGCCAGAGTTGGGCCTATCTGAAGCCAGGAGCCAGTAGCTTCTTCCAGGTCTTTCACATGGGTGCAGGTACCCAAGCACTTGGTCCATATTCTACTGCTTTCCTGGGCCATAGCAGAAGAGAGCTGGATCAGAAGTGAAGCAGCCAGGACTTGAACCCATATGGGATGTCAGCACTGCCAGCGGCAGCTTTACCCGCTATGCCACAGCGCCGCCCCACATTTTCCCGTAATACAGAATTCTTTTTTGATAGCTTTTTCTTTCCTACCTAAAAAATGTCATCTCACTGCCTTCTGTCACTCACTGTTTGAAAACCCTTATTCTGCAAGTGTCTCCTTCCCATCTTCTTCATTGCCAAGCGTTTCAATTTGTTGCTTGCACTGGTACTTCTTACCCCTGGGGACCATGGCTAATATATTGCTTTTAAATGTTTTTGACAAGTGCCACTCACCCTGGAAACTGCTTAAGATCGATTGAGGCAAAATATAGGCAAGTCCTTGGGATAAGCCCCCAGAATGCAGGCTGCTGTCTTCATGGCTGTCACACAGCTACAGAGTGGGATTTTTTTTTATTTTTTAAGAAAGCTTTTATTTAATAAATATAAATTTCATAGTTACAACTTTTGGAATATAGTAATTCTTTCCCCCATACCCACCCTCGCACCCCCAAGCCATCCCACTTCCTACTGCCTCTCCCATCCCATTCATCATTTTTTTTAACTTTTATTTAATGAATATAAATTTCCAAAGTACAGCTTATGGATTACAATGGCTTCCCCCCCATAACGTCCCTCCCACCCGCAACCCTCCCCTTTCCCACTCCCTCTCCCCTTCCATTCACATCTAGATTCATTTTCGATTCTCTTTATATACAGAAGATCAGTTTAGCATACATTAAGTAAAGATTTCAACAGTTTGCTCCCACACAGAAACATAAAGTGAAAAATACTGTTTGAGTACTGGTTATAGCATTAAATCTCAATGTACAGCACACTAAGGACAAAGATCCTACATGAGGAGTAAGTGCACAGTGACTCCTGTTGTTTACTTAACAAATTGACACACAGCTGCAGAGTGGGATGTTATAAACAGTTTAAAATATAACAGTGTACTCTCAGCAAAATTCGACATCTTTTCTTCATTAAACATTTTTATAGTTGTTTTATAAGTTTTCGATTAGCATCCAACATCCAAAAGTTTACTCTCTGCCATCTTCTTTGTTGTTTTTGTGGAGAGGTGGGGTTTTGGAATTTCCTATACTGCCATTGTTAGGGATATCACCTTATTTATTTATTTGAAAGAGTTACACAGAGGAGAGTCAGAGAGAGAGAGAGATTTTCCATCTGCAGTTTTACTCCCCATTTGGCTGCAACAGCTGGAGCTGTGCCAATCTGAAGTTAGGAGCCAGGAGCTTCATCTGGGTCTCCCACATGGGTTCAGGGGCCCCAAAACTTGGGCCATCTTCTACTGTTTTCCCAAGCCACAGCAGAGAGCTGGATTGGAAGTGGAGCAGCCAGGACTCGAACCAGCACCCATGTGGGATGCTGGCACTGCAGGCGGTGGCTTTACTCGCTATACCACAGCACTGGCCCTGCGATATCACCTTTTATTTGGGGGTTGAGAAAGGGAACATCCAGTTCATTTTAAAGGATATACTGGCACCATTTTTTATCTCTCATGGTACAGTGATAGTGGAGTGTGTCTGCACAAGCGCACATATAGTTTGAAAAATTTTTCCCCTCTGTAGTCCTTTTTATTCTTCCAGGTTTGTTTTGTCTTTTTGTGACCATCAGCTGTTAGTCACATTTATGAGTGTGACACGGAAAATTTACTGTTGGCTTACAGGCCCATTCGTAAGAGTGATTAGGTAGGTACCTTTCAAGAGGGAACCCTCAATGGTCAGTATATATTGTTTTTTTTTTTTTTTTTACTCTTTAGGCTTTCAAGAAAGGTTGTAACCTTGGTTGTCTGTGTTTTGGTAGTGTTCTCAATGCTGTAAAAGGAAGCTAGAATTCACATTATTCACTGTACAGACCATCATTTGATTACTTTGTTTTTGATGCTTACCATTAGCTGTTGCAGATTCCAGAACCTCTTTAGTTCAGCCTCTCCAGGAAGGCAAAGGAATTTCCATGAAGCACCCTGTGTTCAACCCTTTCAAATACCTCTGACGTTCAGAGTCTTTCTGTGTACCAACTGAGCTAATTGGATTTTCTGACTTTACAGTTGTTGAAACTTCCAATTCCTGAATCTGTAGCACAATTTATAAGTTACCATTTCTGTTTGCTTTGCTTTACCCAGTTACCAGTTACCATGGTTCTACTGGGCATATTTCAAAATTGTGTTGGCATCTCTTTACTGCTATTAGACCTCCTGTTGTCTCGTTTTCCTGTTCATTTATAACATTTTTACTCCTGTATTCTTACTTAGAGGGTTTGGGGAGGGAGAAAGGTTAACACATCATTCAGTCTTTCCTATTTAAAAGCTTTCTACATTTAAACACACTATAGGAATCACAGTGGAAAAATACTGATTTGGCCATTGAAAACTGTGACATTTATGCGTAACAGAAACTATACAATTAAAAAGTAAATGAAAAGACTATGGTGTGTGTAACAAATTGGACACAGGATAACTCCTCTAGTAAATGAGGAATTCAAATTCAAATACAAAAGGAAAGCACTTCCCCCAAAAGAAAAATGGGCTAGGTACATGAAGAGACATTTCACAAGTTCAGTATCACTGATAGTCCAAGATACATACTAAAGTAAGTTGTGGTTTTTTAAATTCAAAACAAAAATATGTTCTTGATATGTGTATAGTGTATATATACTATAATTGAAAAGGTAGACAAGCATTTTCCAAGATTGCAGATAACTGTAAACTGGAATCTGTAGAGAGGAGCATAGTTTTAACAGTATGCTTAAATAACTTTATTGACTTAAGAATTCTTATTTAGGAAGCAGACGGTCTTCTAAGGAAATATTCCCAACTATGAACCAAAGTATGCAAAGGGATGAAGACTACTAACTGTTAGAAAAGCTAAGATTTATTGAGTCTTTACAGTGGATTCAGGCATACACTAAAAAGCATTATATTTATATTATCTATTATCTATTTTATATTATCCTATTTAATCCCCATAGCAAACATATAGAATAAATGTTATGTTTATCTCCTGAAAATATTGAGCCAGCTCTAGAGCCCAAGTCTAATAAAAAAAATTATTCTAATCATCACACTTACAGAATTTTCTGTGAACATGTATTCTCTAAAAATGGGGGGGACAAAATATTATTTTTAATGTATTATCTAAATATCTAAACACAGTCAAGTAGCTAACTTTTTTTTTTAAGATTTTATTTATTTATTTGAGAGGTAGAGCCACAGAGAGAGAGAGGGAAAGACAGAGAGAAAGGTCTTCCATATGCTGGTTCACTCCCCAAATGGCTGCAGTGGTTGGAGCTGGGCTGTTCAGGAGCCAACTATAAAATGCAAATGCTTTTATTCTGTATTTTCAAAGTTTTCTACTGTGAGCATATGTTTCTGTAATCAAAAAATTAATATTGTAACTTGGAGGACAAATCTTTACTTTTTTTTCCTTATGTTTTTAGACATTTGAAGACAGTGATTTGTTCCATTTGATTGGTGTTATTTGTGGATTAGCAATTTATAATTTTACTATTGTGGACCTCCATTTTCCTTTGGCTTTGTATAAGAAACTGCTGAAAAAGAAGCCATCCCTGGATGATTTGAAAGAATTAATGCCTGATGTTGGGAGGTTAGTTATAAAAGGTGTCATTGGTAGAGTTTGGGAGGTAAAAAATAGAGAATATACTGAAAGCTTTCCTCCTTGAATTAAGTATGAACCAAAATATGATAAGGGATTTATTGTTCTTGTTAATTTTTGAAATAAAAGCCCTTCTAGTAAAGGAAAATCCATTATGTTACTCAGATCAAAATCTTTATTTAAAGATGATATTTTCACCTTCAAAGCTAAATTTTTAGTAGCTTAATGTTACTTTGCAAATACAATAAATTTAGGAAGAGAAAGCTTTCTGAGAGTGGTTAAATGGATTATTTGGACTTTTACTTCTGATTACCTTCATTTCTGGTTTGGACATGTAAACTTTTTTAAAAAATAAATATTTATTTATTTATTTAAAAGGCAGAGTTAGAGATCTTTCATCCACTGGTTCACTCCCCAAATGGTTGCAACAGCTAGGACTGGATCAGGCTGAAGCCAGAAGCCAGAGCTTCATCCAGGTCTCCCTTGTGGGTGCAGGGACCCGAGCACTTGGGCATCTTCTGCTGATTTCCCAGCAACATAAGCAAGGAACTGGATTGAAAATGGAGCATCCAGGATTTGAACTGGTGCCCATGTGGGATACTGGCATTACAGGTGGCAGCTTAACCCACTACACCACAGCAGCGCCCCTGTAAAAATTTTTTATTACATAAAATGGTATAAAATTGTATATACATAAGGACAGCTGTTGAAAATGAGGCAACACATTCCCTTTGTATTCAGAGGAAGAGAGAAAAATCTTTTAAACTGATTTTTGTAACATTTTTAAGTTTTCTATTGTACAGTCACCATTTTGAAACAAATATAAAATATGAATTAAAGAGTTTTATTAAGAGGGAATGAGAAATATATACTTTTTCACAAGGAAAGTAATCGAAATACTCAGTAATATTTTACACTGAAACATATATATTGTTTTGCAGAAGCATGCAACAGTTACTGGATTACCCAGAAGATGATATAGAGGAAACGTTTTGTCTAAACTTTACGGTAAGAAGAATGACTTAAGTTAGCCTGATTTTTCATCATCCCTTCAATTAATTAATTTATTTTATTTAAAGATTTATTTTATTCATTTGAAATAATTACAGAGTGAGGTAGAGCCAGAGAAAGGTCTTCCATATGCTGGTTCACACCCTAGATGGCTGCAATGGCTAGAGCTGTGCTGATCCGCATCCAGGAGCCAGGAGCTTCCTCCCAGTCTCCCACATGGGTGCAGAGGCCCAAAGACGGGCCATCCTCCACTGCTTTCCCAGGCCACAGCAGAAGAGCTGGATTGGAAGTGGAGCAACTGGGACTCAAACCAATGCCCATATAGGATGCCGGCACTGCAGTCGATGGCCTTACCCTCTACATCACAACACCAGCCCTTTTTTTCTTTGTTTTGATGAATGGAATTCTTGACCCTTTAGCTAACATTTATTGAGCATTTACTATGTACTAGTCATAGTACATAAATTATTTCATGTAATCCTCAACACCCGATGAAGTTAGTATCATCCCTGTTTTGCAGATGAAGAAAACTGAAAATAATCATTACATAGAGTCATTACTTAGGCCTGGTCCTGTGGTATCAAAGCCTGTGTGCCTTATTGTTATGCTAAATATACTTATAAATAGAAGCCCTTTTTTTTGAGCCTACAATTATAGGAATGCTTATGGAGTCAAAAAGTGATTATAACAGAACATTACTAATGAACTCACATTTAAAAAGATCAGTTCCCACAGATAGATTCCTGTCTACTTCAGACTAACCTTCATCTTTGTCCATCTTGTCTTATTCATTCCATTGTTGGATGGTACGCTGTGGCACAAGTGCAGATATATTGTGATATTACTTAAAAATGAGATTTTAAGTCTTAGAAAAGATACAAAATTTTGTTAAGTCAGTGAAAGGGATGTTGAATAACTGATTCACTCACATGCAAAGTCATTAATAATTCAGGATCTGGCAGAAGTAGGCTAGTTGGCAATTAATGTAAAGAAAAACAACAAGCATTAAAATGAAAAGAGAACAATTTGAATATTATAAGTTAGACTCTGGGAAAATAATAAAACTTTCAGTTTTCTTTAATTTTTATTTGTATATGTGTTTGTTTTCCTCCCCTAAGCAATCCTGCATGTGTTTTTGTTGTGTCAAAATTAACAAAAGGGATAGCATATTCTGCCATCACACAATTTGCCAAAAGAAATTATATGCTTCCTCAAAAAAGTTTATCCATTTTTGGGTCAGTTTAAGAATTGACACATTATGTAGTTAGAAGAAAATTTGTTAGATTTTTAAAGATTTATTTATTTATTTGAGAGGTAGAGTTAGAGAGAGAGGGAGAGACAGAGAGAAAGGTCTTCCATCAACTGGTTTGCTCCCAAAATTGTCACAACGGCTGGAGGTGAGCCGATCAGAAGCCAGGAGCTCCTACCAGGATGTCCACGTGGGTGCAGGGGCCCAAGTACTTGGACCATCTTCCACTGCTTTCCCAGGCCATAAACAGAGTTGGAGTAGATGAGACACAGTGCGCATATCAGATACTGGCACCACAGGCAGAGGCTTAGTGTACAGCCAAAAAAATTTGGTAGATTTTTAAAATTTTACTTATTTATTTGAAAGAGTTACATAAAGAGAGAGATCTTCCATCCACTGGTTCACTCTGCATATGACTACAATGGCTAGGGCTGGGCCATGCCATAACCAGGAGCCAGGAGGCTTCATCCAGGTTTCCTGTGTGTGTGCAAAGGCCCAAGCACTTGTCCATGTTCCCCTGCTTTTCCCAGGTCATTAATAGGGAGATAGTAAGGAAGGGAAGCACTGGGACAAGAACTGGCCAGTGTCTTAGGCGGCTTCACCTGCTACACCACAATGCCAGCCCCGTGTTTTGTGTTTTTTTTTTTTTTTTTTTTTTTTTTTAAAGAATAATCCTCCTTTTTTTTTTTTGATTCTGTTTTCTGAATGAAGTTTTAATTCCCTCTTTGGATTGACTTGCTTAGATACATTATCAGTTTTCTTGACTCTTTGTTGATCATCATACTTGACCAAAAAAATTTGAATTTCAAGCACTTTGTTTTTTTTTAAAGATTTATTTGAAAGTCAGAGTTACAGAGAGAGAGAAAGGAGAGGGAGAAAGAGAGATCTTCCATCCGAAGGTTCACTACCCAGTTGGCCGAAACGGCCACTGCGTGATCTGAAGCCAGGAGCCAGGAGCTTCTTCCGGGTCTCCCATGTGGGTACAGGGGCCCAAGGACTTGGGCCATCTTCTACTGCTTTCCCAGGCCACAGCAGAGAGCTGGATCGGTTGTGGAGCAACCAGGACTAGAACTGGCGCCCATATGGGATGCCGGCACTGCAGGCCAGGGCGTTAACCCACTGCACCACAGCGCCGGCCCCTCAGGCAGTTTCATTTTCATTTTAGCAGTCACCAAGGTCGTAAACTTTTAATGTTTTCAGAAAGCTATAGTAAATTCAAATATTCCTTCCCATTGCCATTTTTTTCCTTCAGATTTTCACTGCCTCTTTATTGCTTGGAGAATAACAGCTTTAGGATAGGCATCAAAGACAATAATTTAGCTTTGTTTCTAACTTTCATTGTATTCCCCCTTTCATACCAACTTTTGTCATATCCATAGAATTCTTTCATATACCCTCCTATGTTCTTTTTTAGAGCCACTTGTCAAACATGTTTAGAACTTGATATTTACTGTCATCTATCCTTTTGTTCAACCAGTATGCTCAATCTGAATTCTCCCAGTCTTTTAGATGCTTTCTTTTAGGTGCTTTTGAAATGGCATTTTTTTTCTCAAAATCTTTCATACTTGGCTCTAGTTAAAATTAAGTTTTTTGTCCTCTGTAGTCTAATAACATTTTGTTTGCATCCCTATTATAGCATTATTTCATTATAACGAATTGTTTAAATATGCTGCTTCTCTTTCCACCAGCAAGTAAATACCACAGCAGGGATGTGTTCTGTATTAATCTCCCACCCCCATTATAATTTTGTAGGTAGCAGATTCTCATAAAAGAGATAATATTCCAAAATAAGTGATAGAAAAAAATGAATGCAGTTGAGAGGACTGGTAATACTTGCATAAAAATTAGCAGACTAGTAAGCGAAATAAAAGTTGGAAAACAAACAGCTACCTTTATAAACCAAATTAATGTGTAACTGGAAAAATTACCTGTGATCAAGCATACAGCCAGACAAACAGAGTAATTCAGGAAAGCAGCAATTGTCGTTTGGGAAGAATGTACAGCTGTGTCAAGCTCAATGCATTTTTATATTTGGATTCTATTACTCATCTAAGGAAAATATCTTTTCTAATATTCTGCTTTATTCTACAGCCTTATTCACAATAAATGCTCAGTTTCCTGTTCTTAACTATTTCCTATTCTTAACTAACTAAACACTTGGTAATTCATAATTAGTCATGATAGGTTATCAGCCTACTAGAGAGGATGCAAATTCCTAGTTGTGGCTTTCAACAGAATTTATAAATCCATTTAGTAGCAGAATCTTATTGCAAATTGATTAGTTTTATATTTTATGAGAGAAAGGAAGAGTATAATAATTATTAAAATAGTCTGATGAGTTTTGAGTCTGACATTGACTTTTTTTAAAAATTTAAATAGATCACAGTTGAAAACTTTGGTGCAACAGAAGTGAAAGAGCTGGTTCTAAATGGTGCAGACACAGCTGTTAACAAACAAAATCGGTAAGTGAATTATAGCAGCATCAGTGGAAATAATAAGGTGCAGTAGGAATTTTCTTCTGTATTTAGGCACATTGTTTCAACCCCAAGTTTTACTCAGCTTAAAGTTTTTGAATGGTTAGTGAGAAAGTAATCTGCCTTTTGCTCCTGAAATTGCTTTAAGACATTAATAAAGGAATGAAACCAGCAGAAACAATGGAAAAAAATGAAAGAATAGTAAACACAATTTTAGAAACCAAAAAATGGTAATAACTAAGTTTAACAAGCCAGAGGAAGTTGCAGCATAAGGTGAACTGGAGAAGTCTGGGAGTCAGCTGGTTCACATTGCAGAACAAAGGCTGGGGCGCTGAGTAAAACACACCTTTGGGAAGTACAAAGGTTTTGGGAAATGCTGGAAACAGAAAGGTCAGTGTTTTAAGAAGCAGACCCAGTTTTTCTTAGCACACTTAAAACCTGGCATTCTGACAGGAGAATGGAAGTTGACTTTCTGGAGGGATTGAACTAAAGGAACTGTAGATTTGAGGATGCCTAGGCAAGGTCGTGATGGATAAGAAGCTAACTGAAAACAGGGAAATTAAGTGAAAAGTCTTCAGCTCCCTTCCTGAAAATTGGAGGAATCTTTCTGGGGAAAACTGCCTTTTAAATAAGAATGGATAGCCAAAGATCAGGATGTTCAATGAAAGACCAAACAGTCGAAAAAGATGGCAAGGAATTAGGAACAATGCAGAATGAAGAACAGAACTTCGAAAGAAATGAAAATCAGTATCCTCAAAGTGCTTAGTCAATATCCAGGTGAATACTGTTAGAAAATGGGAAAAAACATTGAAAGAAATGGAATGCATAAAATTTGTTGAAGAAAATGATACAGACATACTTTGCAGAACTGAACAGCATACCTATCAAGATTGAAAGCATGTGAAATAGGGGGGAAAAAGATCTATATCAAGGAAGGATAAGTGAAATTTAAAAATCCCCAAAGAAAAAGGGGCACTGAAACCTTCCAGGCAAAAAAGCAGACTGTACATATAGAGCTAAAAATCAGACTATCATCAGATGTGTAAAGAAGGTAGAAGATCAAAATTCTGACTTAGAATTCTATACCCCAAATTTCAAGAATGTGGGTGTATGTAAACATTTTCATAGATACACAGTCTCAGAGAATGTACTTTTATTCCTTTTTCTAAAGGAGTTACTGAAGGATGTGTTGGACCAAGCAGGAAGCAGACATAGGAGTGAAAAAAACCACAAGGAAAAAAGTTTTTATTTATTTATTTGAAAGAGTTACAGAGACAGAGAGGTCTTCCATCTGCTGGTTCATTTCCCCCAAATGGCCACAGTGGCCAGGGCTGGGCCAGACTGAAGCCAGGAGCCAGGAGCTTCATCCTGGTCTCCTTTGCAGGTGTAGGGGCCCAAGCCCTTGAACCATCTTCTGCTGCTTTCCCAGGCACATTAACAGGGAGCTGTATCTGAAGTGGAGCAGCCAGGACTTGAACCCACAGGGATGTAGACTTTGCCAGCGGCAGCTTTACATGCTGTGCCACAACAGCAGCCCCCAAAGAAACATTCTAAAGAAGGTTCTCCAACATATGAGAGAGACAACAAAGTAGACCTTCTGAGGAAAATTACTTTGTGGAAAATTTACAAAGAGCCAGAAATCTAGGTTATATCCAGAGAATGGAGGTCTCCATGATAAAAATGCAGCTAATGCCAGCTAACATATTTGAATAAATCTAGAGGAAATTGACATTTCTATTGGAGAACTTGGAGATGAAGCAGCAAAAAATGAAAGCAAAAGTTATTTATAAGAAAAGAAAGGGGCCAGCGCTGTAGCTCAGCAGATTAAAGCCCTGAGCTGCAGTGCCAGCATCCCATATGGGTACTAGTTCGAGTCCTGGCTGCTCTACTTCCATTTCCAATCCAGCTCTCTGCTATGGCCTGGAAAACTAGTGGTAGATGGCCCAGGTCCCTGGGCCCCTGCACCTGTGTGGGAGACCTGGAGGAGGCTCCTGGCTCCTGGCTTCGGATCAGCTCAGCTCCGGCCATTGCAGCCATCTCAGGAGTGAACCAGTGGATGGGAGACCTTTCTCTCTCTCTGCCTCTTCCTCTCTATAACTCTTTCAAATAAATAAATTTAAAGAAAGGTAACCAGAGAATACCCTGCAGCTTAACTGAATTAATATTTATAATCATAAAAATGTTAACAATGGATATCAATCCTAATTGTTATATAAGTGTAATCACTGTATGAGAGGGGAGAGCAAGAGTGGGACAATTAAATAAATGGTAAATCCTCACTTTTCCCAGTAGATATTCATATTCAGCTCATTGGATAGTATTTGAAATAGAAAATTAAGAAATAAATGTAGACCTATGTTGTTAGAAGCTTGAACACAAATATGAGAAGGAATGGTAAAGAGGGCTTAACTAGTTGCCTTTAAATAACGGGAATTTTTGGTAGAGAAGTACAGTACAAAGAGCTGCTTTGTTCTCTTCTGACAAAGCTTATCTTAGTGGCTGTTGCTTGAGTTTTGATCCAAAGGATTTTAATCCTGAATCTGTTACTTAGAAGCTGTGTAACTTTAAGTAAATTAGTTGATGTCTCCATGCCTCAGTTTCCTTTTCTGTAAAATAAAATGATAAATCAAACCTACTTCACTTGAGGATTAGGTGAGGTAGTATTTTTAAGATACTTACAATAAGACCTAGCACTTGTATGTGCTCAGTAAATGTTGGCTTAAATTAGGATTATTACTATTGGTGTTTTAAGCTATGCATATATCTTATTTTAATAATTAAACATTAAAATGATGTGAAAAAATTGAGGTCTTTTTAGCTGTTTTAAAATCATCTTGAAAAACTTTGGCATGATTTAGATTTTTTTTTCCTCCTTTCAAAGATTCTTAATTTTTCTTTTTAAAGATTGTTTGAGAGGCAGAGAGATGAAGAGACAGAAAGGTCTTTCATCCACTGGTTCACTCCCCAAATGGCCACAGTGGCTGTAGCGGGCTGATATCGATCCAAAGCTAGGAGCCAGGAACAACCAGGACATGAACTGGTGCCCATATGGGATGCTGGTGCTACAGATGGAGGCTTAAACTGCTATGCCACAGTGCCAGCCCCTTGTTAATTATTTAAGTTTCTAATATTTTACATAGATAGTTCATTTAGCTGAGAAATAATTTAAGCAATTTTTGACCAAAATGTGGTTCGTTAGCCTTGTTTTGCATATGAATCTAATGACATGTGCTATTGGTTTTTCCTTAGACCTGCTTACTCTGTTTTATAATAGACTTCTTGAATCCCTGTTTTCTCTCCTTTTAACTTCAGTTTGGAATTATTTGAACTCACTGAGATTACCCATAAATGATTAAATTTACCAATATTCCCATTTATGGAGTCATCTTTTATGGAAGACAAAATTATAAAATACTGAAAACCTCCAGTCCTATTCTCATAAAAATGTGGCTAGCAATACAGACAAAAAATGAGAAACATCATGATGATTACTGGGTAAAAGAAATTTCTTTTTTTCCTTTAGTTTCTTTTTGCTTAGGAAGGAAATCAGAACTGTTCTTGTGTGTATGTCTTCACACATACATATGAAGAGAAACTGCATTTGTAATCTTTAATGATTCTCCTAAAGAAATGCTTTGTACCCCTTCTTATATAATTTTTAGATAAATTTTATTCAGATCCCTTGGAACCCAATGGTATGCCACCTGTGTCATTTTTTTCTTTTAACAGATTAATCTATTTAGAGATGGATACCAGGCGAGATACAAATTCTCAATAATTTGTAAATATTTTTTAAAAATTAAAATTGCTAGTTCACTCCCCAGATACCAATTGCTAGTTCACTCCCCAGATACCTCCAACAGATAGGGCTGGGCCAGACCAAAGCTAGGAGCCAGAGTTCGATCCAGGTCTACCACATGGGTGGCAAGGAACCAACCAGTTGAACATCACCTGCAGCCTCCCAGGGTATGCTTAGTAGGAAGCTGGGATTGAGAACAGAGCTTATACTCAAAATCAGATGCAAGCATTCCAAGTCATATTTTTTTTTTTAAGATTTATTTATTTATTTGAAAGAGTTACACAGAGAGGAGAGGCAGAGAGAAAGAGAGGTCTTCCATCCGATGCTTCACTCCTCAATTGGCTGCAATGGCCGGAGCTGCGCCGATCCGAAGCCAGGAGCTTCCTCCAGGTCTCCCACATGGGTGCAGGGGACCAAGGATTTGGGCCATCTTCTACTGCTTTCCCAGGCCATAGCAGAGAGCTGGATCAGAAGTGGAGCAGCCAGGTCTCGAGCCGGCATCCCCATATAGGATGCCGGTGCTTCAGGCCAGGGCATTAACCCACTGCACCACAGCACTGACTCCATCTTTTTTTTTTTTAAGATTTTTTTAAATTTTATTTGAAAGGCAGAGTTAGAAGAAGAGACAGAGTATTAAGGAAAGAGTTGCAGATTGGTGTTGCCTTACACAGAAATCTATCAGCTGGTTCACTCCACAAATGGCCACAATGCTGAAGCCAGGAGTTAAAAGCTTCTTCCAGGGCTCCCACATGGATGCAGGGCTCAGACACTTGGGCCATCTTCTACTGCTTTCCCAGGTATAGCAGAGAGCTGGATTGGAAGAGGAGCAGCCGGGACCAGAACCGGCACCCATATGGGATGCCTGCGCCACAGGCAGAGGATTAACCCGCGCTGGCCCCCATAAATGGTTTTTAAAATCTGTGTGTATATGTCTGCTGTTTTCATTTCTAGGCAGGAGTTTGTTGATGCTTATGTGGATTACATATTCAATAAATCAGTGGCTTCCCTATTTGATGCTTTTCATGCGGGCTTTCATAAGGTCTGTGGAGGAAAAGTCCTTCTGCTCTTCCAGCCAAATGAACTACAAGCAATGGTTATTGGAAATACAAATTATGATTGGAAGGAACTGGAAAAGGTAAGAAAAAGCATATATGACATTGTTTAAAAGGAAAGACAAAAGAAAAACATGGTTTATTGATAGAAATCATGCCCTTTTTTCTTTTATTCAATTTATTTATTACTCTCCTTCTATAGGAAGACTCTTTACCTTCTTTGCAATGAATGGATTTGCCCTGCGTGGGAATTAGGGATGACATCTTTTCAGTTGTGCTGTTAGTGTAGGAAAATATTGTTGGTGACACAGGCAGAATAGAAGCCCCAGCCAAAACAGAAGGGGTTCCATCATACCTCGGTTTTGGGAAAACTGTTAGGAAAAACTTTTGCAGTGTTTAAAGTCGTTTTCTTTTTTTCTTTTCTATCCAAGTCGTTCTCAAATATTTCTTAGTATAATTATTTCATTTAAAAGGCTGGATTAAATCAGCCTTGATAAAGATGTCGGATAAGATCAGCTTTGAGAAAGATGTGTGCAGGGCTAACCTGTCCATTTTTCCATCTTTTAATCTGGCATCCTGCAACAGAATTTTTGCCTTAAGAATCAGCTACTATACCTCTATCAACATTACTAACAAAATAGTAAGCACTGGCAAGGATGCAAGTCACCAGGAACTCTCATATCGCTGACTAGGAATACAATGTGGTATAGATACTTCGGAAACAGTTTGTCAGTTTCTTACAAAGTTCAGTGTATATTTGCTATATGATCTAGCTATACTCCCAGGTATTGAATTATACTAATACAAAAATCAGTAAATTAAGGAGAAAATAAGTTATTGCTCAATGATGTTTTACAAGATGAAATAAGAGTTCTGGAAAAATAGTAATGAGGGTCATGTAACAAAGTCTAGTAAAATGCCACTTAACTGTACAAAAATGGTTAAAATTTAAACCCTATGGTATGTGTATTTTACCATCATTTTAAAAACATTTAAAAAATATTAAAAATATGTAAACATATCAAAAACTAAACAAGTCAGATGTCCTTCGTTTGTCTATGGCACTACATATAGCACATCCTTTTGGAAGAATTCTGAACATTAAAGATGAATGCACAGTTCATATGTACAACTGGGTAAATCTCAGAAGCCTAATACTAATCGAAGGAAGCCAGTTGGAAAGGATTACATAATATATGGTTCCATTGAATTTATTTGACATTGTCGGGGAGAGACAGAGAGCTATCTTCCATTTGCTGGTTGACTCTGCAGATGGCTGCAATGGCCAGGGCTGGGCCAGGCTGAAGCTAGGAGCCATGAGCTTCATCTGGGGCAGAGGCTCAAACAGTGAGGCCACCTTCCACTGTTTTTTTTAGGCCATTAGCAGGGGCTGGATTGGAAGTGATCATCCAGGACATGTCGTTGCATCCTGGCAGCTTTACCTGCTATACTGCAATGTGGTATCTTTAACACTGATTTAATTCCTCTTTGTTCTGGAGGCTAGGAGGCAAAGATGCAGGTGTCCCCAGAAGTGACTTCTCCTGAGGCCTCTTCCTTGGTTTGAGGATGGCAGCTTTCACATCATGTCCTCACATTGCCTGTCGTTTTTCTGTAGGATATTCTGTAGGCAAAACTGTAATGACCAGGCAGGAGTAGAGGGAAGGTATGACATCAGAAGGAGTAGCACAAGTGACTTAAGCGTAACAGTGATGTCCTGATTGTGGTGGTGGTTATACAGATCTGTACATACGCTTAAAAGAACTGTACACATGCCAGAAGTAGTCAATTTTACTGTGTTATAATTTAAGGAATTATATTTTAAAAGTATTAAAACAGTGAGGAATCTCACTAGATTGGCAGTAAGAGAATAAAAATAGGAACACACAGACCAAAACAATTAAAATACATTAAACAGATATGGAATAGATTGGGAGATGGAAGATCTGTGAATAAGTTGGTTAAATGACTTACATCACAGAAAATCGAATTTAAGCCAAAGAATCATAAGGAGGTAGACCCGGACTGAACAGAATCTCTCAAAGACTCAGGAATTGGTACACTTTTTTACTCTTAATGGCAGGGATACAGGGTTGTACTACCAGCATATCCCCTCTCCTATGCAGCAAAAGACCACAGAGAGGTTCAAAAATCTTGGAAGCTAGGTAAAACTAAGGATGGCTCACAGAAAACTGGTAGCTAGGTTTAAATGCTCTAGGGAAGAGATTGAAAGCTTCCTTTTTAGGGGAAATTGCTCTGCTTAAAAAAGAAACCTGTGGATACTAACTAGGTCTAAGGGACTGCCAACAGAAATGGACCTTACATGTAACCACCCTGAAATGAAAATAATATAAATCTGTCTTACCCTCATTTAACCTCCTTGTTGAACCTAGAACCTTTGTGGGCATGCTCCTTACCTTGAGGCCTATTTCCTTTTCCCTATGCCTGGAATTTTCTTCATCTTAATAACACAAAGGTTTCTTGCTCTCACCTCCTTTATGTGTACACTTTCTCAGAGCTTCCTTGGATTAGGATTTAAAAACTGCAATGCTCCCTCACTCCCCCACACACACCCTCTGTTCTCCCTTTCCTTTTTTTTCTTTTTCAAATATGATGTAATATAAATTATGTATTTATTTGAAAGGCATAAGGCCTGCACCATGGCTCACTTGGTTAATCCTCCTCCTGTGGCACTGGCATCCCATATGGGCGCTGCTTCTAGTCCCGGTTGCTCCTCTTCCAGTTCAGCTCTCTGCTGTGGCCCGAGAAAGCAGTGGAGGATGGCCCAAGTGCTTGGGCCCCAGAACCCACATGGGAGACTGGGAAGAAGCACCTGGCTTCTGGTGCCATTTGGGGAGTGAACCATCAGAAAGAAGACCTTTCTGTCTGTCTCTCTTTCTCACTGTCTATAACTCTACCTGTCGAATAAATTAAAAAAAAAAAAGGCATAGTTACAGAGAGAGGGAGAGACAGAAATCATTTTTTTTTTTTAAAGATTTATTTATTTATTTGAAAGGGTTACAGAGAGAGGAGTCGCAGAGAGAGTGAGTCTTCCTTCTGCTGGTTCACTCCCCAGACGGCCACAACGGCCAGAGCTGCGCCGATCCGAAGCCAGGAGCCAGGAGCTTCTTTCAGGTCTCCCATGTTGGTGCAGGGGCCCAAGGACTTGGGCCATCTTCTATTGCATTCCCAGGCCACAGCAGAGAGCTGGATTTGAAGAGGAGTAGTCGGGATGCTCCCATATGGGATGCCGGCACTTCAGGCCAGGGCATTAACCCACTGCGCCACAGCGCTGGCCCCGAGACAGAAATCTTACAAATGACTGCAATGGCCAGGGCTGAGCCAGACTGAAGCCGGGAGCCAGGAACTTGTTTGTTCTAGGTCTTCCATGTAGGTACAGGGGCCCAAGCACTTGGGCCAGCAGGGAACTGGATCGGAAGTAGAGCTGAGACACAAACTGGTGCCCCAATGGGATGCTGACATTGCTAGCAGCAGCTTTCCAGCCCCCTACTTACTTATCTTTATTTCCTTCCACTCCCATCACAATATAAGAACCTTAAGGGCAGAATTTTTGCCTCTGTTCATTGCCTTATTCCCAGCACCTACAAGGGCACTCAGTAAGCATTTAAAAATCTGTGTTCACTGAATAAGAGAGGACATCTTGGGGGTATACTTTATGATACCTTAGTACATTAGTATACTTTGATTTCTTCCGTTGTGTATCTGGTTCCTTATAATTTCAACAATTATGACCTGTGGCTCTAAATGTTCTTGTTTAATCAGGACTATCATGTTTCCTGCAAACCATTAAGAGATTAAAAGAACTTGTCATCCTCCTTTCATTCCCACTAACAAAAGTTCATAAACTTTGATTCAAGCAAATTAGTATGCTGTTAAAAATCAGTCCATTTTCTCCAAACTTGTTTGCAAATAAGGGAAAATATTTTGCAGATTTGAATTATCAAGAGTTCAGTGATTGAGATAATCATAGCTTTAAATAGGGAGAGCCCAGATAATCATAGCTTTAAATAGGGATCTGTTTCCCTCTCTCTTTCCCTCAAGTAAATAATAAAAATCTTAAAAAAAAAAAAAAAAGCTACCTCAGCTGTAAAATGAGGTAAGTGTACTTAGAAAAATACTTCATAATATAGAAACTGTTTCCTCTGTCCTGTCTTCTTTCTTAGTGCTAATATATGAGAGAGAAAGTAAGTTCTGTTGCTGCGGATTACTCTAAAACTTAGTGACTTAAAAATAATAGTGAGCATTTATTATTTATTGTCAGTTTCTGGTATTAGGAACTCAGGAGTGGCTTAGCTGGGTAGTTTTGGCTTAAGGGTCTCTTCTAAAGTTGCAGTCATCCAAAGGCTTGGTTAAGGATGTTCACTTCCTGGATGGCTCACTCACATGGCTTTTTTGGCAAGCAGCCTCAGTAGAACACCATGAGGACTGCTCTTTATAGACTGAGCATGCTCATGAAACGGCAGCTGGCTGGCCCCGGAGTGAGTGATCCAAAAGAAGGCTAGAGTTGCAGTGTTTGTTGATGGGCTAGCCTTAGGAATCACACATTCTCCATATTTACAGTATCCAGATTGTATAGGTCAGACCCATTCATCATGGGGAGGGGACTACACAGGGCCTGACTACCATAGATTTAAAACAATCTTGCAAACTCTGAGTAAACTGTGTTATTCTGAGAACTCTTTTTTGAATGAAAAATAGAATGTAATTATTGCAGAAAATTCCATGTTGATACTTGATATTAGTCCTCAGCATTGTTTTATTAATTCTGATTTATCCTTATTTAAAATATTTACTTAGGAAAATAGTATAACTCTATCATGTTCTTTGAAGTGGTGAGAGACATTTCTAGTAATATACATGCTTTCTTCCTTTTCTCCTGAAACTAATAGCTTCAAATCGCAAAATGCCCTAAACTCTTGGGCTATGTTAGCTTTATGTGCTAAGGAAACTAATTTGCCAGATTAAGGCAAAACCAATATCTGTTAATATTAATAAAAGATTGTTGTTTTTAGAATACAGAATACAAAGGGGAATACTGGGCAGAACATCCTACAATAAAAATTTTTTGGGAAGTGTTTCATGAATTACCATTGGAAAAGAAAAAACAATTTCTATGTAAGTATGTGAAGGGAATCTTATTAAATTTATTAGGGAAACTGGTCAACTTTGTTGTATTGGGTTATATTTTTAACAATATTCAGGTCTTTTAAAAAAAAACACTATTCCTATAGAAAGTTGATTCACTTTGTTGGATTAGGCTTTACTTTTATAATATTAAGGTCCTTTAGTTTTTCTAAAAGGACTAATCTACATCATTACATAAGTTTTGAAGGCTTAAATTCAGTTTGTCTCTAAAATGGTTCTTAAAAATGAAAATAAAGCATTTTTTTCTAAAAAAATCTTTGAAGAATAACTCTTCTCTCAGAATTTATGCATCTAAATGTGACACTCCCTTTGATAATCCTGCTATTTCCAAGAATATTTTTGGCAATCTAATCTCTTTTTTGAGAATCTTAGAATCTTGAGTTTTAGCTGATCATTATAAATTTTTAAATAACAAAAAATAGAAAAAGGAATTAATCTGAATGGCTGTTCTCAAGGGATCCCAGAAATGTTTTTGCCAATGGCAGTAGTCATTCTCAAACATTAAGCAATTCTTCTGTGCTAATATTAAGATTACACTTTTATGTGGAGGGACTATTAGTATGTGTCTCAAAAATCTTGCCCACCACAGATGGTAGAACTGAGTTTCTGCCTTAGGACAGTTGTTCGCATAAAGCTGTGCTAGTGATTGGTGATTGTACTAAGTATGACTTGCTGCTCTACGTTGCTGACATGGCTGAATGCTTCTCTGTTTGGCAGTATTTTTGACAGGTAGTGATCGCATTCCTATTCTTGGTATGAAGAGTCTCAAACTAGTCATCCAGTCAACAGGAGGTGGTGAGGAATATCTCCCAGTTTCTCATACCTGTTTTAATCTTCTGGATCTTCCGAAATATACAGAAAAAGAAACTCTGCGTTCTAAACTGATCCAAGCTATTGATCACAATGAAGGCTTCAGTTTAATATAACTTCGGAGTTATTACAGCTATTCAGTTTAGTGCAAAAGCATTAAGCTATTTGTGTTTTCCTTGTGATGAATTCAGCAAGACAGAGGTACTATTATAATTCTTAAACTTGCAAAATGCTATTATTCATGACAGCCAAAAAATATTAAAGGAAAATGAACTGTTATTAAACTTATTGTACAGAACTATGGATTTTTTCCATCTTACAATAAACATACAAGTATTGTGAATACATTAAAGTTTTACTAACATGAATTTTAAGAGTTTGCATATTTCAGAAATGATCTGATGTGTGAGTGCATGGAAATGTTGCTTAATTTTTCTTCAATCACTGGGTGAAAAAAGCCTTTAACCTTGGCCTGCAATAGTCGTTGGATTATTTTTTCATTTTGTAAATAATGTTAAGTTTTGTAATAAAATAGTATGTTCTGATACCAGTGCAGTTTCTATGGTTGTAATTGAACTGAGCAGACTTTATAGGTTAAAAATTATGATTTAAATCTGAGAATCTATAAAACGAAAAAAGGCATAATGGAAAGTTTTTTTGGGGGGCAGGGGCTAGAATGTCATTGTGCAAACCTAAATCACAGGTAGGAATTTACTAAATAACTTGTTTCTTTTGTGTACCCTGAGATGCCAATAATTAGGAAGTTGTTTATCAGAAAGCATATTAAGGTTTAAGAATGGAGGAATTTTATCTCTACAGTTGCCAGTAAACATTGGCTACATAGAGAACCAAACACTGAGATACAACTTTCTAAACTGCTGCAGGTTAGTATTTAGTCAGAATTTTCAGTGCTGTAGAACCATTTCCTTGAATTTTAAGAACAAATCTTAACAGTTTTATGGTGCTGATGCTTAGTTATCTGTCATTAAATTCTTTAGTCAATGCAAAACGTGACTTTCTGCTATAATACAAATATTTATTTTCAAAATTTATTTTAAAATGCCATGAAAATTGTTTAAATAATAATAAAAGATTTATTGGATCAATACTTAAAAACTTCCAGTGCTTCTCATGTAAGACTCAATTTTTCAAAAAGGGGAAGGTCTTAAATCTTGTATTGCTTATTCCCATTCAGATGTCTGTCCATAGTGTCTCATCTAATTCCAGACTTCAGAAACAACTGAAAAAAATATTTTAGTAACATTTTGCATCAAAATTTGATCTGAATTGTGTGTACCATAAATACCCTCAACATTTTTTTTAATTCTTTAAATTCATAATCCTAAAATGCAAATATTTTTGGATAAGGGATTGTAAACCTATATTTTACGATAGTTTACTATATAACAAACTACTGTTGAGCCACAGATATCTTTTTATAGATAGAGGCATTAAAACCAATGTTCTCTTAAGGTAACATTCCTCAGGCACTTTTCCCTGAGAATTCATCCATGTACCTGATATTACAACCATTTCCGAATGGGATTCATTCCTTGAAGGTAGTGATTATTCAGATGAAAAACGTGTATGTGTCAAATGCTTTTTTTCATTAGTAACCTTTGTATGCTATGAAGCCAATCTGTGAACCAGCAGCCACTTTCATAGTGTTAAGTGAACAAAGACATAGTCCCTAGGAGCATACGGCTAGAGGCTTAATTTGGGTACTGATAAGCTATTTCCTTCCTTGTTTACTGCAAACTGTAATACAGTAGTATTAACAAGATTCATGATAGGAAGTTAAACTACCTGCCATTTTTCTTCTTAAAATAGAGAAATATAGTAGTCAACTACTGAGTTTACAAAATTACAGGGGCTGAGACTATTGAGTTGGCTGAACTTGAAAATATTTGGCCTCCATAGGTAACAGACGATAGTACCCCATTGTTCTCTCCTAGGGCCCACTCATCAGTCAAGTTTTGTTAACAGGCTTTTGGCCTGCCTTATAGATTTTTACTGCATTTAAATGTTTGACGATTAGTCTTGAAGTATAATACGCGTAGGGCAGTCTTCCCCTGAAGACCAAATGGTAAGCTCCCTGAAATGAAAGCAAGGGCAAATGTTCCCGTTCTCAGGCTCTTGCGCACTCCCACCTCTTTTGCACTTTGAGCATCCAATACTGCTTTTGGTAGTTTTGCCCTTTGCTGTATTTTCATAGTTGTCTAAGTATTTCTAGAGAGAAACTGGAACAGAGACTGCCTATTTAAGTTGAACTTCCCAGGAAGGGTTCGGTCAAAGTCCAGATGTTCCTTAAATCTGGCTATAGATTTACTGAGGTGGGATGGGGAGTGCCTTTTACTGATACGTACAAGCCCTGCCTTATGCCAGCTAACTATGTATTTCTGAGAGATAAGGCTCAGGCTACACTTGTGGGTGGATACTCAATGTTCGCGGAAAAATAGAATAGGTAAGTTTTGTTGCCCCACCAAAAATCTTGAAATCTATGCCTAGTTGTGTTTTTTTGTTTGTTTGTTTTTTGTTTTGTTTTTTGAAGAGTGGACAGTGAGAGAGAGAGAGACAGAGAGAAAGGTCTTCCTTTTTGCCATTGGTTCACCCTCCAATGGCTGCTGCGGCCGGCGCATCACACTGATCCGAAGGCAGGAGCCAGGTGCTTCTCCTGGTCTCCCATGGGGTGCAGGGCCCAAGCACTTGGGCCATCCTCCACTGCACTCCCGGGCCACAGCAGAGAGCTGGCCTGGAAGAGGGGCAACCGGGACAGAATCCGGCGCCCCGACCGGAACTAGAACCTGGGGTGCCGGCGCCGCTAGGCGGAGGATTAGCCTAGTGAGCCGCGGCGCCGGCCTATGCCTAGTTTTTTCAAAATGCACATGCTATGATTTGGTGTCTCTGGAAGTAATTGATTAGACTGGTTTGTGGGGAGGTTGGCCACCATGATCAAGTTTTGGTGGCTTCATAAAAGCTTTATTGTGCTTCCCAGCTTGCCATATGACAGACAATTCCACACATGTACTCCCTCTTCCCATGTGATGCCCTGTGCCCCCTGTTGTTCTGCCAATAGGACACCTATCACCAGATGCTGAACTCAAGGGCTGCTTGGACAATGACCCTCCAAAACTGTAAGGCAAAATAAATGATCTTCCTTCTTAGTAAGTATGGTCTCTTAACTATCTTGTTACAGTAACAAAAAACTGAGGAATATATAATGCATGTTGAGAGCCACTCCAAAAGGAAGAAGAGACCGTTAGACCTTTTCTCCATATTTGTATTCCACCCAGGTGCCTTATTTAGTTACATCTTCCATTTTTGTTGAGGGAGAGGTTCTGGTGTACCTACAAGGACACATACCATCATATGCCATTAGGTAAGGTATCACAATCTATCAGTGGAATACAGTATATACTGCACTAACCAAAGGGGTTTGTGAATAGTGTTAAATGTAATTACAGGGCTGTAACTAAATTAGGCCTTGCCAGGTCCAAAGTTTTGACTATTTGAATGACTACTCATTAGAAAAAGAAAGGTCATACTTTTAAAAATACATTTATGGAATAATCCCACAATGGGAATTTATAGGTAATTTCTGCAGTGCTGAAAAGACATTAAAAACTGGAGACCTGAGGCAGGAGACCTCAGCACCAAACTGCTTGTCATTACATAGCCAATGTAAGGGGCACATTCCTGGCCTCTATAGTACTCTTAAAAAACTATGATGTATTACAGTAGACTCTCAGTTTGGCATCAGAAAGTTGACACCAAATATGATCTGCAGTCTTAGCACTTGTTGGAAGCTCTAACACCCAAGAACAAATTCTCAAGCATCTACCACTTTGGTCTTCCTTAGGCCCTCCCTGGCCTAGAATGTTGGAAATAAATCTGTACCCTCAGTGTTTACAAGAACTGGCATGGTTAGACTAAAAAATGTTGCACAATGAAAAAAATACGGTGAGAGCCCTCAAAGCTGTATTAAGTTGTGCGCAACTCTACAAGTTTATACCTTAAAACAATGTAATTTAACAGAAAAAAGTCAAATGACAATTTTAATAGACTTTAAAACAGTGTATACAAGTATAAAACACTGGTTTTGTATTTCAAAAGTTGGAGAATATCCAGTCATTAAACAGTCTACAAAACATATGCCAGTAGATTACATAAAAGACTATGTACAATATAAAAAGAGCTGAAAACAGTCTTCACTGTAAAAATAATTTAAAACAAATTTCTCAATTTAAAATATCATCTATAGCACAAACACATCATGCAAATGGAAAACTAAATATACTGCATTCTTTAGTGTAGCCAAATAAATGCGGATTGAGACTTCTTAGGTAGGGAAATGTCCATTCAGTACAACTTTTTTCTGACAGTAATGGTACTAGCTGGGTATTTTATGCATCAAGAACAGCTGTATTTCAAACCCCTTTTCTTGTAATAAATACTAAGCCAACACAGAAATGCTTTATACTTTATAATTGGCATAATGTTCAAAAAAGGTCTGGAAAATAAATGTGCTGTGCAATTTTATAATAAAGTATGAACTTTTTTGAAAGGCTAGAAGCTTCTGCAGCTTAGAAAGTTGATCTCTAAGTCTTAAGGCAGGCTAAGCTTTTAAATAAAGATACATTGTAAGAACTAGTTTCATTCATTAACTGTTCTGCTATTACAAGTTATTTCATGTTCACCTTCCATAATACTAGGCTAGCAGTTTGGTATTTATTACCCCAAATCCTCCCAAAGGAGACATGTACTTTCTGGCTGAGTTAAAATTAACATCTTATTACTTTGGAACTGTAATCAGAGGCCTGTTGCTCTCCTCATTAATGGAAAAACAGCAGTCCAAAATATTACACTCTGCCCTGTAGAAGTACCATAACTATAGATTCAGAAAAGCTTTGCATATTCACATCTTGCCAGTTTAATACTTACAGAACAGGATTGATGCAAGCTCTACCACAGTGATAGGTATTTAAACAATGGCAAATATTTCAAAACTAAGGGGGTCCAGGCAGGCACTATTGTTTCTAAAGCAACTGAAACATTTCCAAAGCATTTGTTTTTCAGGTTAGTTTTATGAGCCAATATAGACATTATTACATGTCCTCAGGAAGTACAAAAGCCATCTTCATTTGAACAGATACAATATTCCTGAAATGCTTAGCACCAAGTCCTTCTTTTACATAAAGATAAACCGAGTGCCTTCCTGCATATTGTTGACTTCATTCTACTCAAGTTGCATGTCATTTCAGATTTTTAAAAAGTTAGCTGCCACAAGTTTTGGAAAATGCCAGTGTTTAAAAATAGATAATTGTGCTAAAAAATCAAAAGTATAGCAGAACAGATTTTGAGGACTTCAAATCATTCAATGTAATAAAGAAAAGTGTGAAAATACCATTCTTTGGTCTAGATAAGCTGTTCCCTTTACATTAATTTAACATTCCAATGGCTTTTTGAATTTAAAATGTTGAAACTCACTAGGCAAAAAATTATATATACATATGGATGTATCATACAAACGAACCCTTGAAAGAAAGTGAAAAAGTCTTGACCAACATTTGGTTAAAGATACTTAGTACCTTTCTTTCAAAACAAAAAGTTAGTGTTGCGTGTACAGAAATAATAAAGTTAAAAAATTATCCATGAAAAACCACCTATTTTACCAGTCTATAAATATTACACCTTTCTGGTTTCCTTCTCTATTGAGTTCACAAGTAAACATTCACTTTGACATGCTAAAGTTCCTAATGCTGGTGGAACAATTCCTGTACCTGGACAGCTGCAACATTATGATTTGTTTGATGGATAGTTGACATCTGTTGCTTCCTGTTTCACAGATACAGCTTCATTAACTGCCTCTTGAAGACCTCCATCAGCCCCAAATCCAGTTCCTCCAGGTCTCTCTGGAACATCAACATCATCTTCCAAGCCATTGTAGAATTCTTCAATCTCACTTTCATCCTCCAGTGGTTCTTCTAAACTTGGACTCTGGCATGTGCCACTATCACTGTTACTTCCACAAGAACTAGAGGATAAGACATCATCTTCAGAGTCTGAATATACCTCAGCGCCATGGAAAATATAACGATTTGGTGGTAAAAACAGATACTGATTACCTGAAATATGGTAGTAAAAGGGAAATGTTAGTAATCAAACTTCTAAGACTATTTGGTAGCCTAGAATTAAGAGTAGGTTTCAGCTTTGCCTTTTTTACAAGTGTCACTACTACAGACTATTACTATTAATAGTGTTTTGTTAAAAACAAGCTGTAAACTTAGTAGTCCTGGGTGCAAATCTTAGTTTGCTACTTGTTTAAAATTAAGTATCCAGCCCCGCCTACATTAGCTACCCAATTCATTTTACTGAAGTACTTATTTCAAATTCATTATTTGCAGTAACTTTTATTTTGTGAATGTCTTCACACACACACACTGTAGTCTGGACACCGACAGAAAATTAGGCCCCACCACCAATCTGCTGCATCAAAATTTATTGTCTATAAGACCTATACATATTAAACTTCGTAAACCCATTGACAAAGAGTTCACCTATGATAACAAACGGAGGTTCCTTCTCAACCCCTCCATACAGGGCTTTAACTTCAAGTAAATGAGTTTTTCCCTATGATAAGATAATACAAGCAACCTTTTTCTAACTAAAATTGTTAACTTTTCATCCCTGAACACAGTTAGTTGCTACATAAAGATACCCTAATCAATATTAGCCTGCCAAGTTGCTAGCTTCTTGCAGTTGTCATAATCATCTTTACAAAATAGTTCAACAGCCTCTCTTACCATCGAGCCGCTTACTAATCTGTTCCTTTGCAATTCTGCTGGGCCAGCACTTTCTCACTGTGTCAGCAACTGAGGTTCGTTCATTTTTCTCCCCAGTATTGGAACCAACACTCTTCATATCCGGATTTTCCACCTGTTCAGTGACACTTTCAGTATTCCTAGGATTAGTCTGTACTTCCTGTGATTTTTCTTCCATACAAACTTTTGATTGAGAGACATCTGAATCGTCCACATTACTCTTAGTTGCTTGGTCTATAAGCTTAACAATCATTGAAGAATTTGGTGGTGAAGTTCTTTCTGGTGAACTTGAATCTTCTGAAATATGTAGAGGTGTTGGTGGCAACTCTGACAAATGAACCAACTCTTTTTGTGTTCGTGGAGGTTTTTCAGTAATTTCTGAAAGCTTTATAGGGTTGCAGCAAAGTTTGGCATATTCACCACCTAGCCTGTGACACAGTTCATTAATTATGACATCACAGTCTCCAAGAAGCTCTACATCAAAATGTAGATGAGGCAAAGGTTCCCTATTAATTAATATCTGAGGCACTTCGTGGGGTATGGAACCTAAAAATGGGGTGAAAATGAGAGAAAGGGGAGGGGAAGTAGGCTGGTAAAATCACAACAGATATGCCATGCAAAAATCTAATAAGGATCAGACTCCAACCAAAAAAGAAACTCTCCACTAATACTTAACAACTGTTACATATAATAGCCATTACATTTCATCAAACTAGCTTGTAAGCAGGTGAGCAGTACCTTTTAAAATCCCAGGTTCTGCTCCTGTCTCGTGGTTACCTCAATGTCTTTCTGTAGAATGAGGGTAATAACAGTACTTTTCCAGAAGGTTCTGGTGAGGATTAAATGATTTAATGTGTCATGTGCATAGTAGAGTTCTTGGCATGTAAGTGTTACCACTCTGATAAAAAGGGGGTGAAAAAGTCACAAATATAAGTGTGTGTTACATTTTAAAAAAGTTATCTTGGCCTATCACCAACACACACACAAAGCTTTTAAGAGAAAAGCTTTTAAGGCAGAGAAAGCCTCTGAATTAGCTTTGAAAGGGGGGAAAATATAATGTAAAGAGGCTTGTATATTACATTTTCAAGTTTCATCGAATTACAAATAGGCTTATTTTACTTTAATAGAACTTCACAACTAAGATTGAGTTAACTGCTGAAGCTGCAGATGGACAGAAGTTTCTTTCAACTTTTTACTCTGGCTCCCTATTTGATTGCTGAGGTAGAGATTTATTGAATTCTCTGCTTAGGAGTTTAAGACATCAGACCACTGAAATAGCCCTTATAACATCTCCCTTATTCCCTTACCTAAGTGAAAAAGGAGTATGAAAATATATGCTAGCCAGTGCTGTGGCATAGCGGGTAAAGCCGCTGCCTGCAGTGCTGACTGCTCCACTTCCTGTCCAGCTCTCTGCTATGACCTGCACCCGCGTGGGAGACCCAGACAAAGCTCCTGGCTTCGGATTGGCTCAGCGCTCCAGCAGTTGCAGCCATCTTGGGAGTGAACCAGTGGATGGAAGACCTCTCTCTCTCTCTCTGCCTCTCCTCTATTTAAACTGACTCTCAAATAAATCTTTAAAAATACATATAAATATATGCAAAAGATAACTTCAAGACTGTATACAACAGCGCAAATATTATGGGTACAGTAAATCCATGACATGGCATGAAATCATCACTGCAAAACTAAATCAGTCATTTTAAACCCCCAAACTGTATCTTACATGTATACACTTCTATCAAACTAGACTCACTAGATCTGAAATCAAATTTGAAAGATCAGCTGTAATCACATTAAGACTAAAAACACAAAAATTTAAGGCATTTATAATTGTACAGATCCACAACCCCCTTGGCTTTACATAGAGAAATATTCGATAAAAGCCATCAACTTACTTGGAATTAGTGCTACTGGTCTTACTTTCAGGGAAGACCCAATAACAATGAGGAGATCAACTTCATCTTTGTCATACTTCATGGCTCTATGAAATTGTTCGGGTAAGTTTTCACCAAAAAAGACAATCTCTGGTTTCATGATAGCCAGTGGTTCATCAGCTGGGCACCTAGGACATCGAGGAACTACCTGCATGTTCCAGATTTTGTTTAAGACAGGGAAGTGAAGAGAGAGTCCAAGTTAGAAACAGTCAACATGTCCACACTTCCTAAGGATGCATTTCAAAATTGCCAAAACAGAAAAAGTGGATAAACAGCAGGGGGAGAAACTACTTATGTATTAACTATCAATAAACAGATAACATTCACACACCAAACATAACAGCACTGTACAAAGTACCTTCAAGAAGTTTGTGGGAAACAGAATTTTAAAGAGCTTAATTTGATGCAAGAAAAATCTGAAATCCATGCATTTAGAACATGCATTTGTTTTCCATGAAATTTAAGATTTATTTTGAAAGAAGATGGACAGACAGGGATTTTCCATCCACTGGTTCATTCCTCAGATGGCTGCAATAGCCAGAGCTTCATCCAGGTCTTCCATGTGGGTGGCAGGGGCTCAAACACTCTAGCCATCCTCTGCTGTTTTTCCCAGGCCAATGGCAGAGCTTGATCACAAGTGGAGCAGCTGGAACACAAATCAGCATCCATCGGGATGCTGGTGTCGCAGGCAGCACTACATCATAAGGCTGGCCCCTTCCATTAGTCTTTTCTTATAAGCCTGGATTTCAAAATTTTTTTGCACCAAATCCTAATTATCTTTTAACTGTATTTTCTACTTTATGACCCTCACACTGAAGTACTATCCTGCTCTATTTTTTCATGTGTAGAAGTATACAATATTTATGAGTTTATTGCAGGGGTCAGTGTTGCAGCACAGCATATTCAGCCACTGGGTGGGATGGCTGCATACCCTATCAGTGTGCCCGTTCAGTTCCCAGCTCCCTACTGATGTATCTAAGCAGATGATGGCTCAAGACTTGAGTCTGCTGCTCAGGGACCCAGATGGAGTTTCTGGCTTTGGCCCCCCACCCCAGATGTTGCAGCCATTTGAGGAGTGAAACAGTCAATGGAAGATCTCAGTCTCTCCCTCCCTCCTAGGCATTCTGCCCTTCAAATCTAAGAATTTCTTGTATATTAAGAGAAACAACAGGTATGTATACACACAACATAGGACTTAAATCCTAAAGAAAAAAAAAAAAACAGGAAATGATGCTATCCTCCCTCTCATAATTATACATGATTACGCAGCTAAGAACATAGAACCTATTTCTGGATGACTTATTTCCTATTACATTTTCTTTGGGGGGGGGGCGGTGAGCATGTATGAAATACTTTACTATCATTTCATTTCTAAAATGTTCTGAAGGATTACCATAACTGATTTAATATTCCAAATCTGACAGACACTAAAAAAGAGAAGTAACATCTCATAGTCTTTACACTGGGCTTAAATACTAAGGAGAAACTTCATCATTTTAAAGAGACGTTACATAGGGTGCTGCCTTGGTGCAGGTAAAGCTGCCACCTGCAACAGCAGCATCCACATGAGCACCAGTTCAAGTCCCAGCTGCTCCACTTCTATTACAGCTCGCTGTTAACCTGCCTGGGAAAGCAGAGGAAGATGGCCGGGGTGCTTGGGCCCCCAACACCCATATGGGGGACCTGAATGGAGTTCTAGGCTGCTGGCTTTGGCCTGGTCATTGTGGCCACCCAAGGAGTGAACCAGATGGGAGATCTCTGTGTAACTCTGCCTTTCAGATAAATAAATCTTTTAAAAAGATATTATGGAGCAAATGTTTTCTGTACAAGTACTGAAAGGTTCTTTTGTATTTCCTTAAAATTCCCAATGCTAACAATCTCTTCCTAGACCTTTCTGTACCACATGCTTGTAGGCAAAAAATTAAAATAAGAATCTGGCAGAAGAACAGGTCAGAGACTCACAACTCCTAAAACATGGATAGTAAATTACCTGATTAAAAATATCTCCTCGTACAGCTTCACAGTCAACTTTGTATTTACAGATCAGGCAAGATGCTGTTGCAAAGGAACCTACAATCAACATACATACACATGCTTTATTAAAGGAGTGTTTGTTTCTTGAACATACCACAAATGTTACAAAGTTTGAAACTAGGAAAGCAACGAGTTTTAAAGCTTTAGGGAATTTCACATGAGTGTTTAGGGGATGAATTAAAATATACACATGAAGGTGGTTCAAAAAGTACCACTTAATGAATAACTGCATGGATGTCAAGTTTGTGCTGAAATACTTATTTTCATTCCATTTCCCAATAAAATTTTGAAGTACCCATGTGTGTGCATGTATATATACACATTTTTATCCCCAAGACACATACATAGGTAGAGGACACAATCCTCAACTGGTGAAACTCTTCAATAAAGTAATTCCTCCAGAGCAGTGAGAACATTTCAATTGTGTTAGTTCAACAGCTGCACTGTGGAAGTACTGTAGATAGATGAGAAATGGCCTGTTCGTACTTACTGAAATTTCTGAATCCTGTACATCTGAACTGACCACTTCCTTTGGCTTCATATACTAAAACTGTCACATTACTTCACATATACCCAATATTACTGTTA